CTTGTAAAGGGGGGGGGGGGGGTGCTCGCAATGACTGTGGATATCAGCAAAATGTAGAAATGTCCCCAGCACACCAGGATCCTTTTAGGATAGCAGAATGTTCATTTATTAGAAGTTCCTTGTCATATAAACAAGCCTGATGAAGGGACCGAAAGCGCAGGGTCCCTTCAAATAAATGAACATTCTGCTTTCCTAAAAGGATTCTGGTGTGCTGATGACATTTCTACATTTTGATATCTGATATCTGTCTAGAGTTCAGCTTTAGACAGCTCTGCCGCTGGATATTATACAAAGTTTTCTTTAGGTTTAGTAGAAAACAGGCAGCGTGTTACTGGATAACTATTCTATATCAGCACTGCATTATGTTCTAGTGCTTCTAGCTGTATTTTCAAACCCTGTCTTCTATCTGTAGTGTCTCCCCCTAATGATCCGAGTTCCCTGCCTTACACAACTCACCCGCAGTGCACTATATATCTGCTTCCTACCTGCTCTTTGTGACTGGCCAGCTTGTTGGTATCTTTCAGTTCCTCCTGAAATTTCTGGATCTGCTGCTGTTGCTCGGACACGAGTCGCTTGTGCTCTTGAACTTGGGCTTCTGTGTTTCTTCTTAAAGAAGAGACCTCCAGCTGCAGCCGTTCCACATCTGGGCAAAGAGTACACAGTGAGTTTGCAGACACTCTATGTAGGATTCATATGTATACAGCCGGTGTCCGAGGCTTACCTTTCACAGTGCCGTTTCTCTGCTCTCGTTCCTTAGTTAGATCCAGTTTGACTTCCATCAGGAGAGCCTGACTACGCTCCATGTCCTGCATCTGCCGCTGGACCTCCTCCTCTGACAGTTTCAGTTCCTGCACACAGGGACAGAGTTACTACACACAGGACTCAATGGGCATTGTGGAAATTAGGCAGAAATCCCGCAGCCTTTGCGCTGACCTTTGTTAGCTGGCGCACCAGCCGTTCCATGTCCGCGTAGCTGCTATCGCTGTATCTATGGGAAGCTTTATAGGATGAGAAGTCTGTCTGCAACTTCACAAAGTCTTCCTCAAACTCCACCACCTGCCACAGCAGAAAGTCACATCAGCAAGGGATACTTCTAGTTCATGTTAAAACTTCAGTCTCATCAATTTAAAATTTCCATTTAAAAGTGTATTTATTTATTTAACATTCGAGGCACAATGCGGCCTTTCTAAATGTAAAAACAAATCTATTACTTGTAAATTTATATAATCTCAGGTAATGTATTAGTGATTGTAAGCTGACACTGCTTGTCCATTGATAAGCTCTCAGTTGATGTACAGTGGTTTGTAGTATAATGCAGGTTTTGTTGATAAAGAAAAAATGGACATGGGATTTCGGTGGGATGGAAGGGACATGGGATTTCGGTGGGATGGAAGGGACATGGGATGTCGGTGGGATGGAAGGGACATGGGATTTCGGTGGGATGGAAGGGACATGGGATGTCGGTGGGATGGAAGGGACACGGGATGTCGGTGGGATGGAAGGGACACGGGATTTCGGTGGGATGGAAGGGACATGGGATTTCGGTGAGATGGAGGGAACATGGGATGTCGGTGAGATGGAAGGGACATGGGATTTCGGTGGGATGGAAGGGACACGGGATCTCGGTGGGATGGAAGGGACACGGGATCTCGGTGGGATGGAAGGGACACGGGATCTCGGTGGGATGGAAGGGACACGGGATCTCGGTGGGATGGAAGGGACACGGGATCTCGGTGGGATGGAAGGGACACGGGATCTCGGTGGGATGGAAGGGACACGGGATCTCGGTGGGATGGAAGGGACACGGGATCTCGGTGGGATGGAAGGGACACGGGATCTCGGTGGGATGGAAGGGACACGGGATCTCGGTGGGATGGAAGGGACACGGGATCTCGGTGGGATGGAAGGGACACGGGATCTCGGTGGGATGGAAGGGACACGGGATCTCGGTGGGATGGAAGGGACACGGGATCTCGGTGGGATGGAAGGGACACGGGATCTCGGTGGGATGGAAGGGACACGGGATCTCGGTGGGATGGAAGGGACACGGGATCTCGGTGGGATGGAAGGGACACGGGATCTCGGTGGGATGGAAGGGACACGGGATCTCGGTGGGATGGAAGGGACACGGGATCTCGGTGGGATGGAAGGGACACGGGATCTCGGTGGGATGGAAGGGACACGGGATCTCGGTGGGATGGAAGGGACACGGGATCTCGGTGGGATGGAAGGGACACGGGATCTCGGTGGGATGGAAGGGACACGGGATCTCGGTGGGATGGAAGGGACACGGGATTTCGGTGGGATGGACGGGACATGGGATTTCGGTGGGCTGGAAGGGACATGGGATTTCGGTGGGATGGAAGGGACATGGGATGGAAGGGACATGGGATGTCGATGGGATGGAAGGGACATGAGATGTCGGTGGGATGGAAGGGACATGGGATGTCGGTGGGATGGAAGGGACATGGGATGTCGGTGGGATGGAAGGGAAATGGGATTTCGGTGGGATGGAAGGGACATGGGATTTCGGTGGGATGGAAGGGACATGGGATTTCCGGCTACCGGCTACCCCTGCTTTAGCCGTGTAATTCTGCAAGCATTTGCTTAGATCAGGGATTCAGTCTAGCTTGTTAAAGAGCAACTAAATTAGTTTTGGGTCAAATTTATGAAATAAAAATATGATATATATATATCTTTTATTAATTTCATTTAAGATGGTAAGATACAACATAAGCAGACGTTATAATTAACAGGAGGTAAGAACAGAGAAGCAAAACATGTAAAAAGGAACCTAGAGCTCCACCTGTTGGCTTGATAGGAATCTACGTAATATACATATGCAATAATATGTGCAAAAATCGCTATTTATCTACACATATATTTGTGAAACGGTTGTCAGCATAGGACAATCCATGAGTAATAAGTAATATAGAACCTGTGTACACTTACCTGGCTCTGCAGTTGTGCAGCATGGCCTCGCACAGACTGAAGGATCTCTTCGCTTTGTTGTGCTTGTTCTTGGCTAGAAGTTAAGTCCACCTGCGTTGCTTGAAGTTCATGAGTCAGCTGATCAATGGCTTCCTCGCAGCCCTCTAGCTCTGTACATTTCCCCTCCAGCTCCTGCTGCAAAACCAGGAGTTCCCCCCGCAGGGCAGACAGACGGGAATCCCGCTCAGACAACTGTAGAAGAGAAAAGTATTCTTATTACTATACAGGATTTATAGCGCACCAACAGTTTGCGCAGCGCTTTAGAAAACAGAGGGAGACAATGCAGTTAACAATAACATTTGAGTACAGGAGGTAGAAGGCTCATGAGAGCTTACAATCTAGTGGGAGGGGCAAGTGATACAAAAGGTAATAACAGTTTGGGATCATTTCATGGAACAACTGAATGGACGGTTATATTGAGGTGGAATAGGCCCCCCTAAAGAGATGAGTTTTCAAAGATCATCTAAAGGTGGACAGAGTAGGAGATAAGCAGACAGATTGGGGTAGGGAGTTCCAGAAAATGGAAGACACCCTGGAAAAATTCTGAAGGCAGGGGCGTCCTGAGGCAGGGTGTAACCTGGAGCGGGTACCAGGTGACACCCCGCCGTGATGTCAGCACGCATGCGCGTGATGTCACGCGCTGTTACCTGACGGCTGGTATCTTGGTGATGGATGCCGGCAGAGAGAGGAGGGGAACCGGAGGCATACCGGAGGATAAGGTATGCCTCCAGGTCCCCTCCTCTCTCTTGCAACTGTCGGCTCTCGGTCCATGAACGAGTGCCTGACTTTTTTAGAAGGGGTGACACTAAAATGACTGGTCATTTTGGTGTCACCCCTCTAATGGTGTCACCCGGGTGCGGGCTGCACCCCCCTAGTGACGCCATTGCCTGGAGGCGAGGAGGTGACAAGAGAGCTGGAGGTCTTGGGAGGAGCGAAGGGGGAGGTTTGGGTGATATGTTGAGATGAGGTGGGTGATGTAGGTTGGGTCAGAGTTGTAGATGGATTTGTATTCCAAAGTGAAGAGCACCAGTCATGACCATTTCCCTGTCAATGGTCCATTATCTTCAGAGGAGGAAACTGTTTTTAATAGTTTGAAGTTACTGTGCCTTACACAAGCCTCACAAAGTCAACAAAAAGCTTCCTTCACCTGCCCTGAGTGAGCCAAATCCGCCTTTGTATCTTACACGCTTCCCCTCCCAGACATTGCAGCTCACAGTGCGAGGGTTTCAGTGGCAATGGCAGTGCTGACAATCCAAAAAGCAGTGGGCAGGACTGGGAGTGGTCATGTGTTGATTGACAAGCTGCAGGCTTGTGAACCAGCAGTAACAATGCTGACAGCCGTGCCCTCTGCACCAGGTCTTCATCCCACTGCAGTGCAAGCAAAACACAGCCTACATGAGAGTGGCAATTCTGCTCTGAATTCAGGAGCAGTGCAGCATCGTTGCCACCCCCTTCACAGGAAGCTAAATTAGGTGGCAGGATCAACAGGTATTTGTGAGGTGGGGGACTAACAGAAAACTCTAAGTGCAGATCAATTATAAAAAGGTAATGCACACATATATATATATTTTTTTTAAATAGGAGGCCATAGTTCTACTTGAAAGTTCACAGATGACGGGGCTGCATTTATAACTGAAACTTAAAGTGACAGTAAAGGCAAATTGTTTCCCCCCCCCCATGCTAATATAAGGACTTACCTTAAATGATGCCTCCTTATCCGATCATCTTCTACTTTCCTGTAGTTTTCAGGAGTTCCCTCAGTGCTGGTGCCGGTCTCCGATCCAGCGCTGACTCCTCTCTCTTCCTGTTCCCACGGTGTCTGTGCGGGTGTACGCATGCCGGGCTGCATGCATTGACTTACCTTGTGTCTCTCCTCTCTTCCTGGCACTTCCTGTCCCACGGAGTCTCTGCGGGTGCACGCTGCAGCATTGACTTACCTTGTATCTCTCCTCGTCTCCCGGCGGAAGATCTGTACTGCGCATGGGCCCGCCCCAAGATCCTTTGCGGTCGCCCGAGAATCTTTAGATCTTCGGATGGGAGCGCGCGGCGGAGACACAGGTAGGTTTACACCTATTTAACTTTTTTTATATATATGTTTTTGCATATATCTACTGCTTGCCAGCTATAGATCTATGCAAAAAAATGCGAGGGTTTAATAATCCTTTAAGGCTTGCATGGTGGTTGGTATATTCATTCCCGTTGACTTGTATGTGGACAGAATCAGTTCTGACGCAAACAAAGGCCAAATATCACAATAAGGCAAAGAGTAAAGTACAGTTACCTAGAGAAAGTCTCTCTTATTCTTGTCCATCTGGTGAATGCACCTTGAGCATCATCACTGGATAGTGCAGAACTTTATAAAGGGCTATATTTGTACATTGCATACACATATCAATCTACTGTCCCCCATGTGAGGGGAAACACACACCTCATGTTTCATGTCCCGCACTTCATCCTCCATCTGTCTCAGGCTGGCCTCCAGTTCCCCCACTCGGCTCACACAGGCCTGGTATTTGCTGCGGTAAAGCTCCATGCTGCTATTTGAGGAGTTGCATTGGCTCTCTGCACTGACTGCTCGCTCCTCGGCCTCCCACAGCCGTGACTGCAGCTTCTGCACCTCATCGTCCCGCTGATGTAGCTCATCATCTCGCTGTGACAACTGTGATCAAGGGGAAAAGCGGTGAGGATTTGTTGCATTCAATGCTTTGTATTTTGTCCTGGGCTGAAATGACTGATTTCATTGCATGCTGAGCTTCTTGCAGTGTGTATTAGAAGCTGCAACAAGGCAGACAGAGCCTCATTTCCTGGGTGGAGAACAATCAGCATCATCTCGCTCTTTCCTCCCCAGCCTGACTGTTTACACCCCACCTCTTCCATTCATTAGGTTTTAGTTCTTTCAATCATGGAGTTTCAGCATCATGTGGATGTTACGTAGGGTGGCCTGCATGCAAATATAGCATGCCTAGGAACACCCACTCCTTCAGACTGACAGCCGGTATTGGATATTTGCATAACTATTTTCAAGAGCCTGCCCACTGCTTGCATCAGTGCTGAGGGTTGTTGAGAGGAGTACTTAGGCAGGGTGCTGTAATGTTTCCAGGATGTTATGTACAGCACCCTGCCAGCCCCTCCCACCAGCCATGATCTGCCTGCATTGCACAGTGAAGCACGGAGACCTAGTGATGATGTCACTGGATCTAAAATAAGGTATTTAATGAAAATGGAAATGTTTTATTTAAAAATGTCATTAGCATGTTGATGAGGGGGAGAAAGAAGGAACCGGAAGTAGCAAAATATAAGCAGAAAACATTTCAGATTTAAGACTTGTGTTCAGTATTCCTGATAAACATATAAGATGCCATTTCTAGATGAACAAACACCTTTCCCGTTGGCACTTTTAATCTACCGACTGCTGTATTCTCTGGGCTCCGGACACTGTTTCTGCATGTGCCCTCCATGTCTGTGATGGTGGTTAGTTTTCACAAGGGCTTCTAAATCAGAAAGAAATCTCATTACCAGGGGCGTAACTAGAAATCACAGGGCCCCATAGCAAAATTTTGTATCGGGCCCTGTGATTTCTAGTTAAGTCCACCTGATAACCCAAACAGCCCACCTGAGGGTGACCCGGCAGAGCCCACCATAGACTCTCTATGGTAGGCTCTGCAGGGTCTCAGGTGGGCGGTTAAGCCCTCTTACCTGCCTGCCCCGATCCGCTGTCCGCCTCGTTCTCCTCCACGATCGCTTGCCGGCCCCACCTCCTTCGTCACTGGACCCCATCTCCTCGATCGCCGGGCCCGCCTTCTCACCGCTAAGACTCGCCTCCTCGATCGATGGGCCCCGCCTCCCCCATCGATGCCGCCGAAGGGCCCAGCCACCACCTCCGAAGCTGCTGGATGTCACCGACTCAGCAGGGGCTGTGAGGTGGAACGCGCTGCTGCACATGTGAATAGCGGTGTGTTCCTCCTCACAGCCGCCAGTGACAGCCAGCAGCCTGAAATGCCATAGCGACCCAGGCGGTCCGCCCGGCATCAGGGGGATGTCCTGGCCGGGCCCCCCTGTGCCCGGGGCCCCACAGCGGCCGCTTAGGTCGCTATGGTGATTGTTACGCCACTGCTTATTACGTTTACCTGCTCCTCCAATTGCAGCTGTAGATGTTGTGCCAGGGTCAGGTCCTGTGCCAGTCTCTCCATTTTCACTCTGCAGCGTTGCAGTTCCAGCTCCTGCTCCTCGCTTCTCCTGGTTATGGACTCCAGCTTCTCCTGCAGCCGCACAGTGTCGCTTCTCATCCGCTCCGTGTCCATCTGATGCATCTGTCTCAAAGACGAAAGCTGCTGCTGCAGCCTCTGCATCTGTGGAGGTGAATGTTGAGTGTAATCTGTCCCCTTCGGTCAAAAGTCTTACAACTAGTACATGTAAAACAAGACACTGACCCATGAAGGAGAGTAAGAGATCAGAAGACACTGTATACCCATGCATGTGAAATGTCAGTGCTTCTTTTACAAATGCAGATTGGTTGTTGCGGGTGATTTTCTTAGAACGTTAAATAAGTCTTGCTGTGACAAACCCTATCGCTCTCCGTCCCTCTCTTACCTCCTCCTTACTATCCTCTTTCTCCTGACGAAGCCTCTGTATGACGGTTTCATTTTCAATGGCGGTATTTGCTCGCTCTGAGCAGATCTCTTGGAGGCTCTGCACATCACTCTGGAGGTTCTTTAGCTTAGAGCGAGCGCTATTCAGCTCCTCATCACGTTCAGAGAGCTGCAGAATACATCAAACGTTAATGTATAGTTTCACTAGCTAAAGGCAAACTCTAGGACTCCAGGAAAATATTTTTATTAACCCTTATAGTGGGGCTACCCCCGCACTGCAAGAGTTAACTGCTTGTCACCCTATGCTCTGAGCCGGCTTCTTCTTAGACCAATCCTTCCAGCCTCTCTCCCTGTCCTCCGAAGCGGTTTAAGGTCCCGTAAATCATCATGTCTATACACAGTGTATAGATGTGAGGACACTGATGAAGATTCCCATGCTGCAGGAAGGAGAAGACAGGCTGCAGGGAGGAGAAGACAGGCTGCAGGGAGGAGGAGACAGGCTGGAGGGAGGAGGAGACAGGCTGGAGGGAGGAGGAGACAGGCCGGAGGGAGGAGGAGACAGGCCGCAGGCAGGAGGAGACAGGCTGCAGGCAGGAGGAGACAGGCTGGAGGGAGGAGGAGACAGGCTGCAGGGAGGAGGAGACAGGCTGCAGGGAGGAGGAGACAGGCTGCAGGGAGGAGGAGACAGGCTGCAGGGAGGAGGAGACAGGCTGCAGGGAGGAGGAGACAGGCTGTAGGGAGGAGGAGACAGGCTGCAGGGAGGAGGAGACAGTTGGCCGGAGCAGAGCTACTGTTAAGTATAACTTTGTTATTTTAGACACCTAGACAAAAAATTAGCACTTAACCCTTGCAGTGCGGGGGTAGCCCGACTGCAAGGGTTAATAAAATGTTTTCCTGGAGTTCTTCTTTAAATTATGCAACAAATACTGTATAATTGCTAAGCAAACAAGTCATTTTGTCATTTCATAATATTAAAATGCACCTTTCCATTACAATCTGATGCTGCTAAGATTTTCAAAAACTGTCCAAAAAAATGCTGCTTCCTTGCAGTAGTAAGGCTTTCTGTGTACTGTGTTAATGACCGGCTCACTCTTTTCCCCAGAAGTCTGCAAACAGCTGAAGTCAAATGAGGGGCCCCCATTACAATAGAGGTTTTATTTTTGTTGAGATAATCTTTAAGACTCTTCACAACTAAAGGGATGCAAATCATGCTCCTTTTCTTATTACAACACTGAGATTGCTCAGGTGGCAATAAAGAAGGCAAACCCTCTGATTCAGCAGTTAGATTGAGGTGGGGAATAATAAGGCAAATGTTTATTTCTTCAAACCATAGAAAAGGTTCTGCTATAACGTATGACAATATTCTTAACATTTACATAATTCACGTCGAGGGGTTTGCATTTTCCTCTGCAAAACTGGAGTTTTTCTATCAACTAAAAACGTTAGGCAAAACTAGTAGCTTTTATTGCAGTGTCAACTAAATCACTCAAGACAAAGCTTTGTTCCAGTATGTACAAGCTCCAGTTAAACAGCACTCTTATTGATCAGGACACCGGGTCCCGCCAGGTCCTGGTACCGGTACATACCTCACTCCGGGATTGCTGCAGCTCCTGTTCTTTGGCAGTGAGATCTGTGCGGAGGTTCAGTATTGTCTGATCTCTGTTGGAGACCTAGATTACATGGCAGGTATAGTGTTAGGGATCGGTGGCATACAAAAATGAAAGAATGAAACAAAAAGCTGTGATAGAGAAGGACAGACTCTGCTGGAATATGAAAAGGTCAGATTATTGGACTACAGTAAACAACAAGCAGGTCCCATCATATCACCTCCTTCTGGGCAGCTTTGTGCTTCTCATTGATGATTCCTAAATCGCGCTCCAGTCTCTCCACAGTGCTGCTGAGCTGAGATACCTCTTTTTCCCTGGCTCTCTGCTCCTCAGTCACAGATGCCAATTCCTGTCTCTGCTGTTCCACCAATGATTCACACTGCATCAGCTGTTAAGAAGAAAGAAAAATACGTAAATTACAAGTTATATGTCAATTCCCTATCTCTGCATATCTTCAATGTGATTCAATTAAAACATTACCATGAAACATGCGCCCACATTCTTAACTTCATGTCCCATAGAATAACCTCCAACTACATCTGGAGGCACTCAATGGTTTAAAGCAGTGGTTCTCAACCTGTGTAACCTCCGGACCCACATTTGTCCTTGGTCATTAAGTCGTGACCCAATGGAATGCACAGCATTGCGGTACAGTGCATTTAGGTGCGGCCAATGGAACTGTGGGTGGGAGGTGCGTTTGGGGTGCCGTTCAAGTGAATAGCAACGCAACACATCTCCCACACCAGAACACGTGATACCCAGTCTCCCTACCTTACAAGAACTGGAGTGGATCCTCAGCTTGGGGTCGAGTTTGGGCTGCTGTGACAGAGCTCCATCCATATGTGCATTGCTTGTACAGCTCCCTTGTGTGCCCTGTAGAGGTGCCTGGAGCCAGAATGTGACGTCACTCCAGTCCAGGCACCTCTACAGGTTACATGAGAGAGCTGTAAGCAATGCACGTATGGATGGAGCTTCCTCATGGCCATAGCCCCATCCCATCCCTACCCACCTGAAACTCTGGCATATTTTGAATGGCTGCTTGGTGTGAGAACTAACAGTGCTGCACTAGGGGGAGGCTGAGGAGCCTCTCACCTAGAAAAGTGGAAGGCATGTGGTGACCCACTGAACATGGGATCGTGAACCATCGGTTGAGAACCAAGGGTTTAAAGGATTTGTATGGACATGATCCAAACTTACCCCCAATAATCTTCTGACCTTGCAGTACATTTATAAACATAAAGCACAGGGAATGTGGATTGTGTTGCAGAAATTACTGAACATGTTTTTCCTGACAGACATAAAATCATTATAAAACTTCTTGTTTTGAAATAGATTTTTAGCAATGGAAGTAATGTTATCCTAGATTACCTGTGCTTTACATGTTTCATGCTGCTCCTTTAATTGAGTGAGCTCCTGCTGGAGAGACGCAATGTCTTTGTCTTTCTGCTGAACCTATGGACACCATGTAAGAGACAGGAGACCTTTAATAGAATGTGTTCATGAGTCACCAGAACCAATGTATAGAAACACACCGTACCTGGGCATCGGCCTCCTTGCTGCCCTCCTCTTTCTCCTTTGTGGCGATTTCTAGAGCACTTTCAGATCTCTCCAATTGCTCCTTCACAGTCTGGAGCTCTGCGTCTCTCTTGGTGATGTCACGCTGCATAGACTCCGTCTGCTGCAGGGCATCACTTAGGCGCTCCTCACCGTGCGTTATCTGTGAAGGTCAAACACAACATTCATTAATAAGTAATAGGAAAAAAGAGGCAGAATTCAAAAGCGAACTCAACAGGAGAAAGATGGGAACAAGGTTTTACTCTTGTGATAGCAAGCTTCACAGTTTGAGATCACAGAAAAGAAAAAAAAGCACAAGGTGAAGCGTATAAAACAGCAAATGAACATTGCAGTAATAGACCAGCAGCAGAGGTAAAAGGCAAAGGATCAGCAATAGTAGTGAAACCAACAGGGAAAGGAAAGGACTTCATCCTGGTGCTCCACTAGCAGAGATGGAAGAAGACTGGAGGCGAGTAAGAGAGTCCAAGCAAAGCTGTCAGGAGAGACCAGATAGGAGAGTGAGAGCTAGACAGACTAGAGATCTGCAACTGGTATAAAGCATTAGAGACAGTACAAGAACAGCAGCAGCACAAAGGCACTGCATACAAGAAAACTTCAAGAATATTCTTCAAGAGATATTATTATTTAAATACAATAATATATACTGTAAAATACATTTTAACAGAACATAGAAAGAAACATTTACAAGTTTTTTTTAACACAAGGGGGTCAATTTAAAATGTTTTACACACACCATTTATTCTGGATTCACACATTTGAGTGAAAGTTGTGTGGAAATGTGTGGACACATTTGTAAACAGCCCCCTAGTATTAGGTGTAAATGGGTGATTGTATATAATATAGTCTTTTATGGTCATGTAATGTGTAAGTCTACTCTGTCATACATCCTATTTGCCGGTATTTTTATTACAGTACACCGAGTTGCACATGCACAGCTCACTGCGCAGGCTCAGCAGGGCTCCTGCCAAGATAGTAAGTCTCAAGCACATGCACAGGAGTTACCTCATCTGGCCCTAGCCCATCAATCGGCTGAAGACTCCAATTCCAGAAGCAGACCAGGATGAAGATGAAAGGGCTGGTGAGGGAGGAGAGGGCTGACATTGCATCGCTGGAGGAGATTGCTCAGGCAGGTAAGTCTGCCATAACATGCCAATATGCATGCACACTAGCACATTATGGCTAAAAGCTCCTGGGGGCTCTTTTTTTTCCCTTTACTTCCACTTTAATAAGGTAGCAAATAAGAGAAGTTCATTGATATGGTTTACATACATTTGAATACACTTTGCCCAGTATATACAGCTGCTTTTCACATAGCGTGCTGCTATCACCCGTTATCTAGTGCTGGCCACGAAAGGACTATGAATAGCAATTACCAGCTCCCTTGATGCAGTTTTCTGCTTGTTATAGAAATGTGAGTGCATCAGAGTGAGGGTTTAGTGGTAAATACATGTTTCTAAAGGAGCGTCTATCATCTGAACCCCTGATTGGCACCCTTTACTAAGACCTATATGTAAGAGGTGTTCCTGTAGGCTGATCCAGTGACGCCCATAGCAGCGCAGTCTTGCGAGCCACTGTGAGGTGACTTCTTTCTTACTCTGCTATCCTTTTTGTCATTTATGACCCTATTTAGATTTTAGGAAAATATATGGAATAGAGGTAAAAGATAGGGAACCAACAGCAGAAGAGAGAGAATAAAGTTTGGAATGGTTGATGAAAGCATCGGCAGAACAGAGGACGACAACACAAGTCACAGGAAGGAAAGAAACAGATAAGAAATCAACATCAAGATGAAGAAACATCAGACAAAAAAAATCAAATAGTAATATTTCCAAGTTACCTCTTTCTGAAGCTGGTGGACCTTGTTCATCAAAGAGTCCCTTTCCTCCTGTAATAATGAGATCTTCTCACGTGCGGTCTCTTGTTCGGAATCACAGGTTGCAAGCTGGGCTTGAAGTCTGTCTGTGGCTCTGGTCTGGAACTGAACCTACAAAGGTGCAGAATATGCCACACATGTATGTTTAGTGTATATATCTGTCAAAGCTGATTTATTTCCACCTTCTCCTGGTGTATGATATTTCCACAGTCACTCCATTACCTTCTGCTCCATGTCCTCCGTCTCTATATTAAGATCTCGTATCGCCCTCTCTAGCCTCAGGGTGGTTTCAGTAAGTGAAGACTTCTCGGCATGACGCAGTGACAGCTCTTCCTGAAGACTGCCCTTCGTAATTTCCAGCTGCTGGACCTGGAAGGAAAAGAGAAGTAGAGGAGACTTATTCAATATGGAGTATGTTAGGATCAAGGAACGTAAAGCTTAAAGTGATATTAAAGTTTACATTTTTTTTCTCTATCTTTCCACCCAGGAGGCCCACCTTTACATAAATCTTCCTTTCTTCTTCTTTAAAAATCTTTAATTCCTCGTGTTCTAGTTGGTCCACGCAGCGTTCATGCCTCCGCATCTCTGCACGGGTGCTGCCAGAAAAAAGTTCTGGGCACTTTTTACTTTAATGCACAGAATGCATTGAGGTAAAAAAAACATCCAGACTTTAATGTCTGCTAAATATGCAGTTGAAATGCACACATGTGAAGTGTCTTATCTGCCAAAGGATTTGTAACTCTGTCCAGCCACTTTTGTGATGCATACACCTCATAAAATTTGTATTGGTTTCATCGCAGTAAAGAGTACAGTGCAGTATAGAACAAGGTGCCTTGACAACAATAGCGGCTACAGGATACATCAATGTAAGTGCATCATTGCTACGGGTACACAGGTTATGAGTCATTGCAAACACCACGAGTAGTGACTACATTGTGCTTCCGATGTAAACCAGTTGTAGGTGATGGCGAGTGAAGGTGCATATGTATTCCTCAGTAATATAATATTGGGGCCGGGTGCTTAGCTTTTAGAGCAAGTGAGTCACCAGACAAGGACCAGTAGTCATATCCTGACTTGAAATTGCGATGGCATATGTCTGCAATTTTTAGAATAACCACTGTGTGTGTACCTTATTTACTGCCGGTAAAACTAATAAGGCTCAAAAGTAATGGAACAGATCAAGTGTTTTTATAACACTGCTTTGTCATGACTGCTGACCAATTGGAGTGATCTACAACTGACGCTGGCCATACATTGTTCTATTTTTTTTTTGCTCCCCCGGGCTAAACAAAAGAAATAGAACAGATTCCTCCATCAATGCTTACGGGCGATGATCGAGGAATCCCTGTTGTTTCTGATGTATTCTGACAGCGGCTGTCAGAGTCGGCAAATGAATACTGACTGCCGACTGTGTTCATTTGAAGATTTTCTTCTTCAAATCAGAAGAAAAATCGGTTCTTCCGATCAGCTGATCAAGGGATGCCGGACGAAATAGTACCAAAAGCATGCACCCACTGTGCGAATTTCGGCCCGTTCCTGAAGAACAGTCCGAAATAGTGTATGGCTAGCTTGAGAGATTCTGTGATGACATTTAGGCAGTATATCCAATTCTCACCTTGTCTTCTGCATTTTGCAGCTGCCTCCTCATAGTCTGCACTTCTCTGCGCAGGCGGTCCACCTGCTGCTCTTTCTGGTTTAACTGAAACATAAAGAGGTCTGTCACACAAAATGGACTCTTTGGACTCTTTCAGTACAAGTTCAAATGCTCTCCCCCGTGCACGTACCTTACTTTCCACCATGCTATTGTGCTCTCCTAAGGCTAAGCTCTGAGTCTCCAGCTCAGCATGTAAGGCTCCAGTCTCCTGCTCCAGTTGCTGACTGTGCTCCTGAAGTCTCACTTTTTCCTCTTGGAGTTCCTGCACTGACTGTTCCAGATTCAGAATCTTTGGAAAAATGGTGAATGTTAACTAAACTTACAACAAAGGATTAATCTATCCAAAAGTGATCTTTCAGTTACTGCTGAAATCTAGCAGCCCGAGTCACCCAACAGGGTAATTATATCTCATAAGAACTCCAGCAACAAGACCTCCCTATTATAAATCCTGACTCCAACAATGCATGATAAACCCAAAACTCTACAGCATAATGTATGGATTAAAGCCGTGGTTGTCAACTGGTGGGTCATGGCCCAAAAGTGGGTCGTGACCCCATGATCAGTGGGTTGCTGCGTGCATCCCACTGCGCTAGGTGAGAGGCTCCCTCAGTCTCCCCCTAGTGCAGCACTATCAGTTCACGCACCGTGCAGCCATTCAAAATATGCAGCCCGTCAGCAAATATAATATATAATGTTGGGGGGTTTTACGTCATTTTCAGGCCTAAAATGTGGAATATAACATGGGTGCAAAAAATGAAAAAAGGGCCTCAGTCATGAAGGGGTTAAGTGGGCTGGGCTGGGGGTATGGCCGCGTGAGAGCTCCATCCATACGTGCATTGCTTACAGCTCCTTCGCCTGCCCTGTAGAGGTGCCTGGACCGGAGTGACGTCGCATTCTGGTTCACGCAAAACAAATGGCAAACGCACTCATGAACTTATCACCAGCTTTAAAGCAAGGTGCACATGGAAGGGCTTTATACAGAACAACAGCAAAAAGTTTCCCAGCACACTCACCATCCAGCATGCAAAAAAACTTGTCTACCACTAAGGTTAAAAACAGAGGTTTAGACACACGTCTTCTGCAGAATATGTGAAAGCCGCACTGCCAAGGCACCTCTATATAGTGCGGTCCTAACTCTAATCTATGAGAGTCTCCATCTTGGAGCACATGTAGCAAAAGATACAATTGGGTGCAGGTTTGCCAGGAGGCAGCCCCCAACCCCCTTTAAAGGCACAGGGACACACAAGGGACCCCGCACCTCCTGTCAAACCTGCACCCAATTTTATCTTTTGCCACATGTGCTCCAAGATAGAGACTCTCATAGATTAGAGTTAGGACCGCACTATATAGAGGTACCTTGGCGAGAAGGTGCGGCTTTCACATATTCTGCAGAAGACATGTATCGAAACCTCTGTTTTTAACCCTAGTGGTAGACAAATGTTTTGCATGCTGGCTGGTGAGTGTGCTGGGAAGCTTTTTGCTGTTGTACTGTATAAAGCACTTCCATGTGCACCTTGCTTTAAAGCTGGTGATAAGTTGAGGAGTGCGTTTGCCATTTGTTTTGCTGGACTGATTTGGTGCAGTGACACATTGGGGGTCTCAGCTGCCGTTGTGTTGTAATGTGCGGGGTCCCTTGTGTGGTGGTACAAAAAAGAAAGGGCCAACTCTGCTTACGTGGGATAAATGGTCTCCCCAATGCGAGCCAGATTTAATCAACCTGGACAGGGCTAACGGCAATGGTGGGAGGCTTGTTAGCACGCCATTTATACACCTATATTTTACAGGCACCCAATAGCATTGCTCTATTGTACATTATGTACCAGCTGTAAGTTAGCAGGAGGTGGTCTAGTACTGACCTGTTCCCTGGCTCTGTGCAGACCCTCCAGTGTGCCTCGGTGCTCCCTCTGCAGCTCTGCGTTCTTCCTCTCCTGCTCCAGCACTCGCTGCTGCAATTCCATTGCTTCTCTCTGGCAGCTGCTATATCTTCCTCGCAGGGAGGCAGTCTCTGACTGTGCCCCCTGCAGCTCCTCCTGCTTGGTACTCAGCTGGAATGACAGAGCAGCAACGTAATGATTACAAGGGGTCATAGAACACATTATTATCTATGGGTGTGCAATAACCAGTGACCAATCACAAATCATTTTTAGCTGTTCTTTTTCAAAAAGAGTGCAGCCAGCTGGCCCGCCTGCTCCTATGCCATTTAATTGACTACCTAGGCCACCTAATTTAGTAATGGGCCAACGAGAAGGCACCGGAGACATACAGTCAGTCAACCCTGCCAGAAAGTGTTTACATTTGCATATTGGGGTGACTGCAGCATATACAATCTTTTGTTTTCGTCAGATGAGATTTTCATTCCCATAGAGTTGAAGCAGGTGAAACACAGGCCAGACGCAGGTAATCTCCAGGTCCCATGCACCTGTCAATGAATTCTGAATGATCTCAGAAGCATCCCAAACTGATGCTAATGACACAAGCCCACAGCCCATCGACACGGCTCTTGAACTGCTCTCTTTCTGTAACCTATAATAAAAGATGTATACTGCCACACACTTGACTTCTAAATATGTGAGTGGCCTGGCTGTAATGCTTAGGCTTTGAATTCAATACTTTTAGTGAGTGACACAGAACAAGTATTGAGATAAGGACTTCTGATTGTATTTCCTGCATGTATGTTTTGGGTCTGTGACTCAGAGGTATTGACGCTAGACGCAGCCAGGCAACTACCATTTTCCGAAAGAGGTCAGAAACAGTAGCCCTGTGTTTTTCTCATGACAGGTGTACTTTAAAGATGATCTGTGTCAGTACCTCTCACCCATTCCTGTCAAACCTTGCACATGCAGTGGAATTACATGGACCTTTAAAGGAGGGGACGCCTGCAAGCAAACATGCATATTCAGTATAATTACCGCAAACACAGTGTCCTGTAGCTCTTCTCTCAGCCTGTGTATTAGTGTCAGATGTTCTCGTTCAGCACATTCTGCTTTTAGAAGTTGATCTTCTAGCTCCTCTCTGTGGTGCAGGTCCCATGTCGTCTGGGCCGGCTCCTCTCTCGGCATGTACAGAGATCCTTCCCTAAGTTTATCAATCTGCAGAAAACCCACAAGATCTCAGCAATGGACAGGCTGTCGTTTCTACACACAGAGAAATCTCTCATTGTGTCTGAGTAACTTGAGATCTGCTGTGAACATTACCTCTGCCTCCTGCTCACGCTGGCGCACTCTCAAGGCAAAGTTCTCCCCTTCCAGCTGGGACAGACGCAGGTTGCATTCAGACAGCTGAAAATGGGACATAAACACTAATATAAAGTGAACCTGTCACCATATTACCCTCTAAGAGATACACACCTGTGTGTGCAGTGAAATTGTGACTTACCTGCAACTAAATTTACAAGTGCTAGGATATGTTAATTTTTACAATTCAGTGTGAGTCAAAGCCATGTCCTTCCTTATGGCCTGTAGCCATCCCTATGCTAGTGACATCATTGTCTGACTCCTTCCACTCTTCTAACATCCTGGGCAAAAGTCTAGTGAGATTTGTTTCACTGGACTTAGCCTGTCCTTGGAAGCAAGTTCAGCAGTAGCGCTGAGGAGGTATGCATAAATGTTATAATGTGTGACTAACTGAGGTCATATGACCAGAAAGCTTTAGCGTACAAAGCTTGTGCAACTTAAATGTTTGGGTCAGCCCATGCATTACAGAGTTATTGGAGAATTTTGCTAATCTCATCAGGTTTAAGAAAACTAACTAACTAAGTCAACCAAACCCCTATCTCTTGACTGTTATCAATGTCATTCAGAAACTCCCAGTAACCAATCAGAAGTCAGTATTGCATTGCCGTAAGTCTAAGATGCTAAGAACTAATCTGTGATCACTAATATTATATAGGATAATCACACAACACTGTACTTGCACTGCATTATGATTATGGTGCTGACAATACCTGTCGATGGGCCTCATCTCTTTGTGTAGATGTGGCCTTCAGGTCTTTATGAAGCTGTTGTATTCTGACATGTCTCTGCTCCAGCTCCTCTTGTCTTTCCTTCAGTTCTCTCTGCAGTCTGTACACTTGCTGTTCCTGAGCATCAAGCTGCAAAAAAGAAGAAAAACTAAAGTGAGGAGCCTGTAGTTGAATCAGGAGGATACGTTTATAGAAGAGCGAACCTTACCTCTGAGGAGAGGACATCTCTGGTGTTCTGTAGTGTGAGAAGTTCACTCTGAGCTTCCCTGAGGTCTGTGTCTCTACGATCCAACTAATGGAGGAGACAAGACAAGAGAGCTGGTTAATATCATAAATATTGTAACTCAATGCATTACTTAGCGTATACAGTATATATATCTATATATATCTATAGATATATATCTATCTATAGATATATATCTATAGATAGATATATATCTATAGATACATATATATATATATGTATGTATGTATGTGTATATAACACACACATACACACAGTATACACGGAGTGTCCAGATTATTATGACCACCTAACGTTTGTAGGCAAATTAGCTATAATTAGCTATAATTTGGTGCTGAAGTTGCTAGAGGACCAGACCATTATAAATAGGGAAGCAGGTTGTTTACCACGACATTAGAAGTGATTTTTTTCTGAAGATACGGGTAAACAACGCAATTTAACAGCCTTTGAACGTGGGATGATTGTTGGCGCTCGGAACCATGGAGCGAGTATCAGCAAAACAGCAGAATTCGTTGTTGAATGTTCAAGAGCAGCTGTTGTTAAAGTGTTTAAAGACTGGACTGTCAGCTGAAAATCTGGGTCTGAACGTGTGAAATGTGGCCGTCAGCAACTAGTCAATGTTAGGGCAGAATATATTTGTGGGGATAACTATTGCAGAGAACAGGCACTCTTCAATAGCTGCAGCAGAGGAAGAGTTAAAACTGTCAGATTGCATATACGGTATTAAATCTGTTTTTTCCCCTCCCTTTGTCCTGCAACAAGGGTTAAACAATGTAGAAGTGCACCGCTGCGCTCACACACAATGCAGTGAACCAGGCAGTCTAAAGCTGCCCACACACCTTACAATTATCTGCAGACTTTCTGTGGTCAGATGGAAAAGGTGCAACAGATTCCTCCATCTATGCTAAGCTGTGTGGATGGAGTAATCTCCACCTGGGCCAATCTGTTGCACTTTTTCCATCTGACCACAGAAAATCTGCAGATAATTGTAAGGTGTATGGCCAGCTTAACACTCCCCCTGCCCAGAAGTCCAGTCAGCAATGCTCACACTCCCTGAGCACTGCTGCTGATTGGAGAACTGGGCAGGTGGTGTGTCTGACTGATGAAAACCTGGACCATTGCACTCTGTGCAGTCCGGCTCTATAGCATGCTTATAGCACAGAGCATTTTAAGCTTTGCTGCATAAAAAGACAGGTCTGTTAAATAAAAATAGGCCCTATATTGCATTACAGTAATAACTGGCAAAGCTTTAATTGGACTTTGGCTAGATCAGATTTGGCTAGACAATTTGGCTAATTCAGATTGACTAGTTCTTGCCAGGCCTCAACACTGTCACCTGGAGGATGCAGTGATGTCATCCACCTTGGTAAGCTCCAACACTAGACTAAGCCAGGCTGGACTCCTACAGAGCAAAGGCAGCAAGGAAGCATGGATTGGTTAGTATTAGGGCTGTTACTGATTAAAATTTTCGTGTTCGATTAATCGAAATTCTTTTTAATCGATTAATTTCGATTAATTATAACGCACATACAGATCCAACTACATTGGCCTATACACATACAGCACAGCAATGAAGTAATAAAATGAACTAGTTACATAGTTACATAGTATTTGAGGTTGAATAAAGACATTAGTCCATCAAGTCCAACCTATTCACTAATCCAGCACGTTATTAATCTCACGTGCCCCACTCAATATGGCCGCTGCTTGAGTGGGGCAACTCAGAATAATAACGTGCTGGATTAGTGTGATCCTAGTTAATTTTATTACTTCATTGCTGTGCTGTATGTGTATAGGCCAATGTCTTGACTGGCGCTCGTGCAGAAAGTTTCAAAAAAATTTTAATCGATCAAAAAGATTAACGATTAATCGAGAAATTAATCGTTAATTTGCACAGCCCTAGTTAGTATACATTGCTGGGAGGTAGGGCTGTCAGGAGGCGCTGTCACTTTGCTCTGAATGGGCAGGTGGTGGTGTCTCTTTAAGGTTAAACTATTCGAATAATTTAGTACTTAGATTATTGTCCATATTGTGACTAGTTATTTTTAATAAATCCTTTATATATACGCACCTCATCTTTCAGAAGTGTGTTACTTTTGGATAGAGTGGAGTGGGTATCTGTGGAAGAGGTTTCTGAAGGCTTGTTAGCAACCTGACAGAAGAAAATTGAAAAACAATTCAGGCCAATAGCCAAATGACTTCTAGATAAACCGATGACCATGTAGAGTATATCACACAAAAGAATAAGGAAACCTCTTCTGGAGACAGAAGGTGCACACTACCTGGCTCAATGCTTTAACTTGGTTCTCAAGATGGTGTTTTTCTTGCAGATGAATTACAGCCTTTGAATCCTTGAGAGAAATCTCCTGGTGCAGCTCTGTGATGGTGTCCTGCAGCTCTTGGAGCCGAGCGTCCTTCTCAAACACCTGCAGAGAGAATATATTAGATGCAGGAGCAGAAATATGGCCATGTGACATGTCTCTCCCTTATCTGAAGGTGGCGTGGAGTGTTGGTCTGCTCATGTATTTGGATGTCTTGCAAGAGGCTTCCTCTGAGGCTGGTTCAGGGCTAGGCAAATGGAAGTCTAGACTGGTCTGCTTAGCTGAACATTACAGATAAAGTGGAAGGATGTCAATTGTATTGATCATAACAATGAGAAAGTTTACTTTCCAGGCTCTGTATTGAAACACTGTAAATAAAATGAACTAGACAAGCGTTCTCATATAGTTTTCCTTCTCGATGCCACCCTTGTAGCCACCCTTCTCGGTGCATTCTTGCATGGGACTACAACATTACATACCAATGCAGCAAATGCCGGAACATGCAACCTTCTAAATTTATGGCGGCGGGTTGACTGACAGCTAACACAGCAACTAATGTTTATTCTTGTCCTTCACTACTGTCATTTGTGGAAGGTACCAGAAATATCAGGCACATATGGACATTGAATAACGCCACCACAATGCATCATGGGATATGTAGTCTGAGGCTGGTAGTGCACATTAATATGATTATATGTGCACTGCTCAAGCCTCAGACTGGAAGCTCGGCTATGGCTCTTGAACGTATTGTGGGGACGACAGCAATAAAATAGAGTTTATGTAGCTTGTTACACAAAAATAGCCATACATTGAGCATTACAATTACAAGATACACTGGCACGTGGCCTTTCATGCTAGGGGTTTAGTTGTACTTTGGTAATGGATGGTAATGTCCTCCAATATCACCTGTATTCAGTAGTGTGCCCAAGAGGCAACTGGGCTCTGTAATGCAAACAAACTAATCAGAAGTCGGCATAACAGTCTAGTGGAAACCAATGAAAAGAAGTTGATCTGTGGTTGATACAGCACCTCACTATGTCTAATGAAGGAACAGATTTGTAAAGATAAAACTAGACAGAGCACCCGCCAAACTGCAATTTGCTTCCAGGAAGGTTTAAATCTAACTGATGGCTGCAAAACACTTCTTTCAACTATCCTGATTTGTGCTTGTGCCATAAATGGTCCTTCTTTATTTTACATCTTTTTTTCAACACGATGGAATATATTGCAGACAATGAAAGACACGTATATAAGATAATATAGGAGCAGCTGGTCATTGTAACTGTTCAGAGTTCCATCTCTGACCCTTCTGTGTACACACAACCTTACCTCGATGCGGCTCAGTTCCTGGCTGTGGATGGCATCCCTCAATTGACTGTGCAGCTGTTGTACAAGAAGCTCTTTATTCATCACCAATTCCTGCAGCTCTTCCAGCTCCTGCACGAATCCCCTGAACAGAGAAACATGTCAGAGTTTTACATCAGAAGTAGGGCCCCAATGTGACAGGACTTATGGAACCAAAACTATCAGTCTATCATTGTTTTCAGACCCTTAAACTCAATTTATCTTCAGACATTAATGATTAGGCTGCTAGCTCAGAGGCACAGTCTGGTTTCCATATGGTATTTGTGATAAATGATTGTGGTGCTAGTGCGTCCCATGGTCAGATAGGGCTTCCAGACATACTCTATATGACCTTACTCTCTCTTCTGGCTGTCTCTCCTCACGCTCTCTCCTGCCTGTCTCTCCTCGCTCTGTCTCCTGGCTCTCTCCCCTGTCTGTCTCTCTCACTCTCTTCCCTGGCTCTCTCCCCTGGCTGTCTCTCCTCGCTCTCACCCCTGGCTGTCTCTCCTCGCTCTCTCCCCTGGCTGTCTCTCCTCGCTCTCTCCCCTGGCTGTCTCTCCCCGCTCTGTCTCCTGGCTCTCTCTCCTCGCTCTCTCCCCTGGCTGTCTCTCTCACTCTCTTCCCTGGCTGTCTCCCTTGCTCTTTCCCCTTGCCACTGGCAGCCCACATGCAGGGTGTTAATGGGGGTAGGGAAGAACAAGGATGTGAGGTGAGGTAGAAGTTCAGGATGGCTCAGGAGGTTGAGAGAGAGTGTACCTGGATTATTTGTAATAAAACAGAATGGCAGTACAGTATATATAGCCATGAGGTGTCAGAGTTTCTATCAGATATTCTCCAATAAGCAGCCAACATTGTTGTACATTGTTGTTTTTACTTCCTTCCCTCTCTTTCTTATGCTGCAGGCTTTGCTCTGCTACCTCAATGAATCACAGCAGACCCATGCCAGGCTGCGGCTCATACCCTCTGGGAAAAGTTAAGATTAATTTCTTCAAGCTTCTAAATCAATTAGCCGGTCTGTTTATTAATATCAAGCCAACAGAAGGAGGTGAAAGCTACACGGGAGGATGGCAGATGAGCTGGCACAATGCCATCCCCACTCATGGTTTCCTGTGATATCAGCAGCGGGAATATGTCACAGCAGCCAATGAAGTGGGTCTGCAGATCAGAGCAGGCAAAGGAATGGCATGGATTGCCAGCCTCCTAACCCTGGAAAGCAAGTGCAGGTGGCATGTGGAAAGCCAGCATTTGGGCACAAGCGTGATTAATGCATCTCTACCTCCCTAAAATGTTCCTTCGAACATATTTTGAAAGCAGCGGCGTATCCTTGCACACCATCACAGCTGGCAAGCTGCGGATGCTCACCTTGATTATTCAGTTAAATATGGAGGACAAGGCCACAGGGAACAGTACATCATTGTCTGGGGATTATTTTTCCTGCAGCTCTGAATGCTCATTCGGCAATCAAGTATTATAATGAATACAGTAGGAGACACCTTGTCAACAACAAACGAAAAGGTTCTGGTTCGCAGCAATGGCATGGGCCATTCTGAAAGAAGAAGATGCATGGCGTGGAGGGCAAAGACTAGGAAGTGGATGTGTGACTGTACACACCTCTGTGCAGGTACTGGAGTCACAGCATGGCATCAGGATATCACACTTTGCTCAGCTCATAAACAGACATAACAAATCCAGTTACAGGAACACTTCCAGAGCAGGTACGTGGAAGGAAAAGATGCAGCTCCCCAAAAGCAGCAGGATCAGAAGGCTGGGAGACCTCTATCTATATATTTGCTATTATGCCCAGGGGGGGCTGAACCAAAAACTCTTTCACCCAGATCTGCCTATACGGGAAAGTCCAGACTTGGAAGGCAGTTAGGAGTGTGACACTTTGCATTACATGCCTATAAAAGCTTTGGGCACACTTTACATGTGACAGTGTTGCTCTCTCCCTTAAGTACTCACATGGCTGATGCTGCGTCAGTTGCTGGTAGGTCTTCAGGCGCTGGGTGAGGGGCCAAAACCTGGCGCTGAAAACAAAGCATAATGGATAAAGTCAGATATGTGATGCCAACAGGATGAGGACTTTACATAAAAAAGGAGAAGGCTCGGAGCAAAGGACCAGCACCAGAATGACTTTTTTGCTGCTGAGTTCTGATTACCTTTATAGTAACTGTTGTGGGGTATTTTTCTTTTCAGTATTATTAACAAGCCCATGCTGAGTTTCTATTAGGAATAATTGTTTGGGTATAACAAATGATGAAATAATGAAGTGCCCTTTACGTACACTGTCTGGATTACAAAAGATGAGCAAAAGGAAGATTCTGCATGTGGATGAGGGTGTGCAATCCCTTCAACAGGAAAAAAAAAATCACAATGATGGGTCCAGAATCTTACTGGGAGTGTATGGAGCCCTTACTAAAAGCGTATGGGCGGCAGAGGGTTATTAAACTCACACAGCCTGAAGTCGGCAGCTAATGTCTCTAGTGGTTAATCATCCTACAGTGCTATGGCTTTGTGCATATCTCATTTGCATCTCATTAGAGCCGCTTATGCAAGAAGCTTATTCGCAGCAGAGAAATTATGTCTAGAGCGGCTCCCTATGTAAGTGCACGATAGCTCGGAAGCTACGCTAACCAATCCCAAATAAAAAGCGGGGTTCTGCCTTGGCATTGATAATTGAAGCTGTGGCATGTTCATCCCTTGGCTGCATGTTGTGGATATTGGCAGATCCTCACTTTCTTTTTGGCACTGTTGTGGGTAAGGGGGGGGGGGCATATAATGGGTACTAGTGGCATACCACGGATGCTTGTAAAAAGTGGAATGACCAGTTAGTTTCCATCTTTCAACTTTTGCTGTTCTCCCAGAGACTGCCCTGAATTAAAAGGGGCCTATTCCCTAAGGCAGGGCTCAAAATTTCCACTCGCCCCCTCGCAATTTGCGAGTGAAAATTGTGCGGGGGCGAGTGGAAATGAAGCCATTGAGTCAGGCACTCAACTCCTGGAAGGACTCCTGGACCTCCTCGGGGCGGCTTGTGAGGGGGAGAGAAGCCGCGCCCCCAGCTGTCAGGATGGCCGAGCGGGGAGGAGATCGGAGCCGCTGTCATCCTGTCAGTTTCAGGATGACAGCGGCTCTGTGCGTGGCAGATCGGGGGATCGGTAAATATCAGTGATATTTACCGATCCTCCGTGTGAGAAGGACAAACACTGGAGCGATCGTCTGATCACTCCGGTGTTTGTAAATAACTGGGGACACATAGTACTATGTGTCCCCAGTTATGAATGAACAGGCTGTGATTTACATCACAGCCTGTTCATTCAAGATTTCCTCAATGGGGAGAAACACTCAGTACAGAGGCTCCTCCCCATTCAGAAACTATTGATAGTAAATATTTTACTATCAGTGTCTGAATGAATGAGAAGCCTCTGTACTGAGTGCTTCCCATTCACTGAGTGCTGAGGCTGCTGAAAAAGAAATTGAGGATTTGTTGTCCTCAATTTCTTATCTATTTTAAAAGGGGAATGTCAGGGATCTGTTTGGACCCCTAATATTTCCCAGAAACCCCCCCCAACAGTAAAAAAAAAAAAAAAAAAAAACATTATAAAATTAAAAAAATGTAAAACATTATTTTAAAAAAGTGAAAACTGCCCCCCCAAGCATATTATTAGACATGTGCGAAGACTAAAAATTAATTCCAGATGAAATGTGTAATGCTCTGTGCGTTGTGCTGTGGCTGTACGTGTGTTGTGCTGTGTGCGCGTTGTGCCCTGTGTGTGTTTGTTTGTGTTATGCAGAGCAACTGGTGGCGAGTAACTATGAAGACCTGGCTAGTAGGTCAGGACCTGAAATTTTGAGCCCTGCCCTAAGGTACACAGGTATGGCTTCCCCCAGCTGGGCAGGTGTGTTATGTGACTGGTCTCCACATGTATACATTTATATTGTGATACATGCAGATGTTGCTGTTGTTCTGTAGAACATTGTAAAGGTTCAAAAGCATTATGACTGTCAGAATTTAGAGCAAACACAATTCTCAAGAGCAGTGGAGGAAGGTGGTGGTGGTGGTAGGGGGCTGCGTATGTGAACATGGGAATGTACTTTAATTACAAGCCAATTATACTGCAGGGGCCCACAGATGATTATAGGAATGTGTGAAGCTGTCGGAAGAAAATTACACATAATGTTAATGCAATTAGACAAGTCTTTCATGTCAGGGCAGGTGTGTGTGCATGTGACTGGTATGTGTGTGCGATATCGCAGGGACACTTATAATGCGATACACATAGATGTCGCTGCGGTTCTGTGGAACGCTGTTATGATATGCAAAGCTCTTTCTAATCTCCAGCAATCTCTCCGCCATCCAAAACATTCATTACATGTTAATTTGGGGCTGGCATTTCTCTTCTGTTGCTTAATTCCAGTAGAAACGAGAACTCCGAGTGGCAACAAATTGTGACATGTAATCATGAGGGAAATAAGTGGTATTAAGCAAACATTCATGTAACATGGAGATAAAAGATTTTGATGCTGAAATCCAGGAGCACCGATACAATAAGGACTCTTTTCTCATTGAGATTTGAAGCTTAATTGGAAACGGTTGTGAATTGTAAATCACTGATTCAAAAAAGCAGGAATCAGCATTGGCATTGAATTTACAAGAGGAAACTAATTCTTGTGTCACCTAATGGCAAAGGTACAGGGTTCATCCCAGAGCATCAGAGGAATAATGGTGGTGCAAAGTGAAATCCTGCGCGGTAACCTATAAAAACCTGATGATTAGGTAACAAACCAGATTTTAAAAAATCTGGTCCCTTACGGCCGCCCAAAGATAATAGAGGGCAGTCAGATATCCAGGCTTGATCTGAAAGCCCTCAGGCCAGCAAATCCGAGGGCTGAACAACCCCAAATACACTTCCAAGGTTAGCTCTGTAATCATGGAGTCACGAGGTGAGTTGCCTGTGCCAGGTCCATATTACCCCAAAATGCTTTTGCCCTGCAAATTCTCATGCTGATGTCAGTCAATCCGTCAGAAAATGGCTGCATTGGGCTGTCTAGGCTGCTTAACATCCACTCTTTACAACACCCCAATGTGAGATTAGTTAGCTGCCACTGTAGGAAAGACAGCCAATGAGCTGATAAAATAACCAGCTACAATTCACTACCTTTACTGATTCTCAAGGCATAAAGCCTCAGTCCTATAGATCAGCGGTCGACAAACTTTCGGACCTCATGGACCACTAAATTCATCATTTTAAATCCCACGCACCACTAATATGAATTTTTATAAATATATATGTATTCTCTCATATTCTTTGTTTCCTCATACATAAATATATTCGTGTGTGTGTGTGAGAGAGAGAGTGTGTGTATATACAGGGCTTGAAAAATTTGATAGTGTCTCACCAGTCAGTCAAAAATTTCACCAGTCAGCATGACCGGACTATAGCCTTGCAATTTATGTAAAAAAAGTTTGTGGACAGATAGAGCTTTCTTTTGGAGGTATATAATCACCATGGGGGGTATTTTTTTTT